GTCAACTGGGGAAGCTACAGGAAATACTGAAAGAGCAGGATATCCTTAGAAATTCCTGCGTATCTACACAAGCAACCAGATTGGAGTTCTCTACAAGGAACGAGGTAAAAAAAAAAAAAAACAAAAAACAAAAAACAAAACCATAATCAGCCTTCATTTTAAAGTAGCATCCTATAATAAGTGTTCACCTTTAATTACTAAATACTGTCAAGTCCCAAGTATGAAAAATATCAGTGTTAGAAACGATACTTACGAATGAGAAATACCTTACACAGGAAAGAAATATTATTTTCACACCGGTATGAATTACAATCGCAAAAGCTTAAACTAGATATTAGGCAAAGCATTCTTAGGTTTCGAGGAGGTAAATGATGTATCTCACAGGCCTGCTTTATGGATCCAGGAAGGTGTAGCAGGGAGCAGCAGAAAAGGCACACACTGAGCAGAGACCCAGGAGACCCAGATTCTGGCCCAGCAGCCCCTCCCGAACAGGAATCCGGGGAAAGCTACGGGGCCCTAGCTTCCTGCTCTGCGTGAGTGGACCAGGTCTGTGTACATCAGTGGAGTGGATTTACTCCAAGGAAAAAGCAAAATCCAATTTCTTACACGCATGAAGTTTTACCCAAAATGAACACACAAGATCGACAAACAACACCACTACAGGAATTATTTTTCAAATGTACACAGATGTCATTAAGATAAATGAAAAAGAAACTCAAAGAGTAGCTGTTTGTTAATCATGCATTTTTTAAACAAAATACTAAAATTATAACCACCACAAGGGCTAACAGGAAAACAAAATTAACTGATACTAAGAAGGTTTCTCACACCAGGGACCTTGGGTGGTTCAGTCCGTTGGGGGTCTGGCTCTTGATTTCAGCTCAGGTCATGATCTCACAGCTTGGCGGGTTCAAGCCCCACGTTGGGCTCTATGCTGCCCCTGCAGAGCCTGCTTGGGGTTCTCTCTCTCTCTCTCTCTCTGCCCCTCCCCTGCTTGCACTGTCTCTATCAAAATAAATAAATACACTTTAAAAATTCATTAAACAAAAGAAGAAGGGTTCTCACACCATATGTTACCACCACTGTCCACTCATTCAGAGCGAGGCCAGCCTGTGACACTCTCAGCGGCAGAAGCCATCTGCTCTACCAAGCAAGCGAGCAGCACGCTAACTCGGGAGTTCTTCAAGTAAAGAGGAGGTAAAGGTGGGCACCACTGCAGGGACCATCCAGGAAGTACAGAAGCCAGCCACGAGAGCAACGGACATTACACAAGGCTTGGGGGGGGGGAGCGGGGGGAGGAGAAGGGTTCCCGAGTTAAACCTCAGAATTCATTCCTGACATTCATTCAAGGCAAGATTTTCTACAACTGTAAACCTCATATTTTCTCATCTGCGAAATGAAATAAATACCACAAATTAAACTATGTGAAAAGAGTGGCACAGTGCCTGGGCACCAAGTAAATGCTCAGTGTCCGCATACTTCCCTAACGAGCAGCCAGCTGATCTGTAAGCAGAGAGTTTACAGAGCCACAGTTCTCAATCTTCATTTGAAAGCTTTTTCAACATTTTTAGGAATCCACTGATTAGCATCCATGGTTGAAAAGAATACTCTCCCCAGAAAAATCCACATACATATAAGACTCTGCAATTTCAGGAACTTCACAGACCCTGTTACACTTAAGGAGTCCTAGGGGCCTATGGACCTCAGACCAAGAATGTCTAGAACACTAATAAATTATTTAACACCTGAATTTGTAAAACAAAAAACTATGTAACAACAGACACTGCTTAATGAATGCCTTTCATATGCTCAACACCACGCTAAGCAGATCAATGGACTTCTTTGCTCTTTGCAACAACTGCTGAGGTAGACAGTAGTGCTGTGCCCACTTTAAAAGTGAGAAAATTAAGTGCCAGGAAGGTAATGAACATGTCCTCCATTACACAGGAACGCATCAGGAGAGAAACATGTTCTCTAAAGAATAATGCACCAAAACCAAAACCAGTAGTTTAAAAAAACGACAAATAAAATCGTTTGTCATCTTACACTATTACAGACCTGTCCTATTTATCTGCATCAGCTGCTCAACAGAGGTCTTAAACATGCAAAGAGCTAGGCGACAAAATAAAAATCCTAAGTATCTAACGAGTCTAACCCTTGCTCTCCCAGTGAGGAAGGGATTAGCACACCCTACAAGAAGTCCAGCCTGCAGAGCCGCCTCCATGAGAACTAAAATGAATGTGCATTTTAAGTCTCCTTTCCAGAGCTGCACCTTCTCTGCTTTTTGGAAAGAGTCTCTGTCCTGCCATTTAAACCACCGGATACTGGGAGCAGCTGCGGGGGTGGAGGGGATCATCTCTACCCAGTGTAGGGAGAAGCTGGGCAACGTTTTCTTTGCCTTCTCACCTCCCTCACTACCCCTGGACTGCCAATAAACACAGCACCTTTTGCTTAAAAAATCCAAGCTAACATATTCTCTATAAGAAGGGAAAATGCTGCCTTTCCAGCACAAATACTTTAAAGTTGAACAAATAAGTTAAAAATTATAAAATTAACTCTTTGAGTTGTATCGCCATTAGCGTAGAAACACAGATCAGACAGATACCTGAATATGCAAAGAAAGTTAAATTATGATGCAGTTAGTGCTATCCTATAAAAACTAAATTAACAAAAATAGTCTATTAGGGAAGACATCTGGTGTATCATGGCAAGAACTGTTAATGATATTGTCTGCAACCCTGTAATCCATTTTTTCTCCCGGCAGCTCTCTCATTGCACTGTATTAGATCTGCGTGCCTGCAGAATTTATGAGCACTCCGCACATGGGGGGTAGCTTTGCCAACTGGATCCAATTCAGATCCAGCTCAAATGACTTTGGCAGCATGAAGCGTTGTTAAAGAACAATCAATACAGTTTGCTTCATGCAGCATCATCTTGACTCAAAGAAGATTTATTATCTTATTACAGAACCTCCTCAAACCTACATCCGATGGTATCTGAGTACACCACCGATCATGAACTTATTTAAAACTCCAGTGAACACCACACTTTTCTGCTAAATAAATAAATAAATAAATACTGGTCATCACTAATGCTAATACAAAAAGTTTACTGAAAATCAATGTTATTATGGGCAAAATTTGAAATCTACTCAACAAATCCTGATTAATGAATATTGTAGTACATGAAACAGTCAAACAATGACATCCACACCAACTGGAGAATAAAGTAGAAAGTATCAGCCTGAAAGAGAAAATCATCTCTTAGATATATATGGAAACAAGATGGTAACTGTAAAGGCTGAAGTCTTTGAAGTAGAGAGTCAAGTTGGGACTCTGCTAATGTGTCCCTTACGATGTCAATATCTTTCCAGGGATTAAAATTAGACTTTTATCCACTACACTGGGTTTTATCTTCCATTGTGAATGGTTGTTATATCAAGAATTCCAAGGTTTCCATAATGTGAGCCTTTTTTCTGGTCTAATTCTTGATAAATTACACCAGCAACTATTTGCACATGACATTGCTGCTGTGACGATTACTCCTGGTTTTGTTACGAGGATTAATATCGTAGCTCCCCTGTCCCGGTCCTCCTCTCTTTACACATGGGTGACAGCCCTCACCATCTAGCTGGAGCTTCTGCCATCTGGCCAGAATGCACCGGATACCCAATCCATCTTCTTAAGCAAGCATTTGCAAATCAGCTTGCCTGGAATAAAAAAGCCTACAAAGGCTTCTCTCCCATGTGTCACATAAAATCTGCCCTCGTCTCACCTCTGCCATGCTCTATGATCTGGCCCCGCGTTATGTGCCACCTCCACCCCCACGACCCACTAACCTGTGCTGTTCCCCGACGTCCTACGGTCATCTTCTCTCAATTCCCAGCCTCACCAGGCTCACCGCCTATGTGGCCTACAGGGACAGGTGGACACGTACACCTGGAAGGCTCCTCCAGTCTGCCTGTCCACATGTTGCTGATGTATCAAAAACCAACCCGGCTCCTCAAAACCTGCCTGTCTTCACAAAACTCCCCCAAGTGGGACAGCCCTTTTGGAGCACTCGCTTTTCCTAGTTTCAAGATACTATTATTCTACACTATAATTGAGCAATTCATTATACAGCGCCAGGTATCTTGTGTTATTTTCTGAGTATGCATTTGAGCCCCACGGTCAGATTATGCACAACAAGAGAAAAGACAGGTCTTCAACTTCTTTGGTGATTAACAGCAGTCAATCAGAATAAACACTTGTCTTCCGGAAAACATTATCATTAAATCCTCATACAGGCAAAAGAAAGGCAGACAGGTATTTACACAACTTTCATGAGAGGGGAGATACAGGACACACAAACAACCCACAGATCACCAACACCAGGCCCCGTGCTCTAGGGACAAAGCACCACAGACACTTCATCCTGCTGCACCTCACACACACGTCATTACCACCAGGTAACAGAGACATTACCAGGGCACAGCCGAGTCCACTGTAGCTACACCCTAACTCAAGCCTTTCAAAGGGTTTAATTCTCTATCTGGCATCGCAGAAGAGCCTAGCTGCTTCTGAGCAATATTCGACAAAATGTCACCTGAGAGGACAGCATCCAAAATAGTTTAGATTTGTGGGCCCTAAGTCCCCACGATGCTGGGGAAGTGCACATTTCACACTTGGACTCAAACTTACCCCCTTTTTTCCCCATTTCAGTTGCCAACATCCATACTCGCTGCTGATTGCCAGCTCCTGCTCCTTGCAACAGCCCAGCATGCTCTCTGCTGGCGCCCCAATACCCTACACCACCAAACCCCGCTGACTTCTGGAACTGTCCTAGAGGGGTAAGGCAAGTCCCGTATTTTGCTTCCTCTGTGCATGTACTTGTTACTCCTTTAAAAACACATACAATACAGCACATTTTTAAAGGGGCTCTGGGGAGGGAGGTAATATTCCTATTTTATACCCTATGGGATATAAAATATTGATAGCTTTTAAAAACGGGATTCTCCTTACCCCTACAGGCCCTCTCCCGGCTTCAGAAAGATGTTGTGGTGGCTGTGATGCCACCGGCAGAGAGCATGCTGGGGGGTCACACAAAGCAGGAGTTGGAGATCTGCAGCAGGCCTGGGAGTTGTGGACCTAAAAAAGAAAAGAGCTTTCAGTTAGCATGCCCAACGTCCCCTCCAGCCCTGGTTACTGGGGGCACGCAGCACACAAGCAGGTATCTGCACCACCCTTGAGCAGATGGCCTCTCAGAGAATTTGTTCTAACACCGAAGTTATCAGCCTTTCTGCATCAGCGCCGTTGCCTTAGTTCAGCATGAACAAACATATGAGCCTTGTGGCTCCAGACTTTAATCTGGGTCCTGTTGTAAAGCAGTATGGTGTGTGCCCCCCAAGTAACCAAGTTAAGATGTGACACAGTGCCAAAACACGGTGACAACGGCATGCTTTGCTTAGAATAAAAACAAAAGCGCAATGGTGTCAGATAAACGCAGCCGTAAATGAACCAGAAGTGGACAAACTGAGCTTTCAGAAGAGTTTCTAATGCGAGACCCTAGAGGCACAAGACAGGTACTTAATAAGGAAATATTTGAGGCATTAGGAGGTCAAAGGAAGATCCTACCATTTTCTCAAAGTCCTAGTTTAATTTTGTAAAGCTAAAGGCAAGGCAAAAGACAAAGGCTTAATAACAGAGGGAAAAAAGACACCTTTAAAGTGAGTTTTAATTTTCTCCCAGTGCCCATGTGAACAGGCACAAAACATAAGCTCAAGAAAGACACTATTTCTTTTAGGCACGAAACGAGCGCTGGTGCGTACCACGTGTCTACACGTCTTCCTTTACACCGTGCAAACATTTAAAGCAGCAGCAGATTAGAGAGCAACTTCTGAAAGCCAGCACCGTCCTTGTAAGTATCAAAACAGATACCTCGATAACAGTTCAAATATGTTTCCTTTTTATACATTCTGGAGAGTACATAACACTTCCAAAAACTAACCAGCCCAGTTTCGTGGTTTTTAAATAAACTACAAACTCCATAAGATCCAAACACTTATAGAAGAATCTCTGTTCTTAAAGTTGCTTTAAAATAACAGACAAGCAAACTTTTTAATATTAAAGCATTTTTAGGGAGCTTTCTTAAATTTAATTCCTTCTGAATCACTAACAACTTCCTATAATCCAAGATTTTAACATGTTCCATTAACTACTTATTTTTCTATGTCTCTTTTAAGACAAAAACACAAATCCCAAGAAAATAAGCTAATAGTGGGGAGTGTCTTTATCATGATGGTTTTCTTTGCCTTCTCTACAGATCACCTTCTAGAGTATATCCTGGGCACCCCATAGTACACTTCCTGTGTGGTCAGTCTTGACTCCCACTGCCTCAAGGACAACACACGATCACAACAAGTGTTGTTAGCAGCAGGATCTGCTCCACACACACCTCCCTCCTCCCCATACCAGCACCACAAATTCCAAATCAAAGAGTCAACTGTGCATTACAATATACAATATACTCAGTATTTTTTTTTACCATAATCATCCAATAAAAATGAATTTCTGGTGAATATTTTGCACTAGTAATTCATCAGTCAGATCATTCAAATTCTTATTCATTCACATCAAGAGCTTTAAATAAAGAAGACACCTACTAAAGCATTTCAAAGCACCTTGGCATTATTTTAAATATGCAAAAGTTCAAATAATTATTAAAACATTTTAAGTATTAAAAAGTACATTTCAAAGCAAAGCACTGTTCTTACTTATGAATCGGAAAACATGAACAGGTATCTGTTTCCCTCATTTTCTTTTGGTTCTTCTGGTGGGTTTTACTTGGACTATTTCAAGTTAGTCCTTAATCACAAACATCCACAGGTACACACAAATTATCAATTTCCAATTCTAAGATATCAAGAATATGAATAAGACTTTGCCAATATTCTTGTAAAGCAGCCCTCTGCAAATATGAAGTTGTCTCAAACTTTCTTAAGCTCCTTTTTTAGAAAGGTAAGAATACCTAGGGTTTTTCGCATTAAAAACATTTCACCTCCAGAGAACAGGTTTAGTAAACATTTTTAGATACATATTTTATGGAACAGTATAATTAAACGAAATTCTTTCAGTGGTTTCCTAGTCCTAAAATCCAAATAAACCAGGAGAAAAATGAATTACCCAACTTCACAGTAATAGTGAACCATTAAAACTTTAAATCCCACGTGGCCTACAATGACTGTCAGTCATGAGTGAAAACAGCCTGCTGAGAAGCTGGGTAAATGGGGCCAATAAGATGCTATGAGAGTATTTATTCCCAAAGCCTCATTTTGATTTTCATTTATGTGAATATCAGCCCCACCATTTATAGGTTGACATTCGTATCAGGGAAAAAGGCTGTAGTGATTCAAAATAACTTGCAACATGACTGCTCCATAACTGGCGGGGGGAACACCTGACAATATTTTGTCCGTTAAACTTGGGGCTAAGGATTTCATCCCCCTCTTGCTTCTTAAAGGATTAAATAAAATTATAAACGTCACATTTACATGTGAAAAGGACATACAGTCTCTGTGCACATATTTTTTATTATTGGTGGCCTACTCCAAACAAATAGCATGGAGCAAGCTTAATGACCCATTACAGTTTATCATAATGCTTATAGATGGCAACTAAGCAACCATGGCCTGTACTGTAAACGAAGGGAGAAAAACGGTGTGGTCTCCAGAAGAATACTTGAGCACCAAATCAATAGGGTGCACCTTTGCTGGACGTGGAAATCACCGTGTTAAGAGTGGTGTCATGCTGGAGCACCCACTCCAGACAGGTGAGGACAGCTAAAGTAGCGGAAAGGAGCCCTGTGGGAGAATGACTTCAGCTGCACACTCCATTATGTCTCTAAATAATACTTAATTCCTCACCCTGTAAACTAAAAAACAGTCGATAACGAATTTCAAGGATTTCACTTCATTATCCAACACTACCCTCAAAGTCACACAGATGTAAATGGGTGATACTGACCTTTTCCTAGGGAATGAACTAGAGGAGAAAAAGGAACTATGGAAAGAAGTACTCAGTTCTGGAAATCTAACTTGAGCGGCTACCAAAAAGAGAAAATCAATTACTACTTGACACGAAACTGAATCATTACATCATAAGGCATTTTTCCTATCAGCCAGCCTTCTCAGGAATGTTTACCTACAGACTTAAGTCCTCATTTATCTTTGCTAAAAGTCAGTAATACAGGAAATTCAAAACACATTATAATGCCTAAAAAATGTTATGACTTTGGCAACCCTCTGTAAACTCCTGAAGAAAGTAAGTAACTGAGTTTAAGTTATTTTAAGAATAGATTTTTATTATTTAAATATCTAAAGTACTACACACTACAAGCTAACCAAAATACTACACGCTGTAGACTAACAGTAAAGAAATGCGTCTCTCTGGTTTGTTTAATAAACAGAAGGTGGATTTGTAGTTAATGCATTGTATCAAATCACTCCTAACGTTTTTCTAAAACTTTATGCACTGAGTTTTTTCCCACTGAAATGTTAACTTCACTCAACATTCAATAAACATTTGTTGTGGATGGGCCGGGCAATATGCTAAGCACACAGTAATACATCAGTGAATAAAAGCAGGCACGGTGTCTGCCCCTGCAAAGCTTGGACGCAGAGTACCAGTGAAACACCATATCCCTACCACGTCCTCCCATGGCCCCAGCACCCTGCATCCACTTTGCAGGCTCCATCTTTTAATCGAAAAACAACGTCCCTGCCAGGTAGGTGCTTTATACCCCAACTACACAGGTAAATAAAACAAAGTTAGGAGGGCTGAGCGTCTTGCCCAAGGTCATGAAAGATAGCAACTCAAGAACAGACCAGCTGATGTCAAAGTCAAGCTCGGACACATGCACGCTACCGTCCCTCATCTCGGTCCCTGGGTGACACCACACGTTCTGCATTAGCCACACTCACACTAATGCAGTCCTCCTATCCCATTCCCAGGAAAGTTTCTGATACGAGATTTACCTAGTATCAAAACGAATGCCCATTTCCCAAACGTCTACACACCATGCATTCTATGCTGAGCGAGCACAGCAGCCGAGATGGGAATAAACAACTGCGGCATGTGGTGCCTAAGTGAAAACGAGCTCACGGTGTATACACACAGGTGTGTGCACAGAGTGCACGGTAACGAGGGGTCCCGTATCCCCCAGCATCATCTATGTCAAGGTCCCTAACAAGAAATGAAAAGATAAAATTACTTATCCCCAGTTAAATTTTCACTGTAATGACGGAAAAGCAGCTCCTTGCTTTTAATCTACTTCTGAGAAACTTGATTTGGTGGCGAGAGGGCAACACCGATGGGGAGTGGAAGCTGAGCCGAAGCTCCTGTCTCCACAGCCCCTCTCTGCTGTACTGTGCAATCAACTTTGGGGGTACGGTTCTTTACAGACACCGACCAGGAAGAAGTAATTCCGAATGTTCCTCCCCCGGGCTGCTCACACTTGGCAATGAAACAAAGAGAAAGCAGTAACGGAGATGTGGCGTGCAGCCTCATCTCCTCCACACTCACAACCAGCACTTAGAACGTGTGCCGTGAGGGACGAAAGGCCACAAAAGCACACTCGCCCATGCGGAGCCGTAACAAGTCACTGAGCCCTAAACAGTTGACCAAAAATACCATATCCCTAATGACATTCCCCCAACTGGAAGGAATCTCTACACCAGGTTTAATTTTAATGACAACTTTCAACTTCTAATAAACCAAACAGGCGCCAAAGGAATCAATCACTGGTATTTGCTCAAAATAATATTTGCAATAATTACATATCCAACCCGGAAAATCATTTCGTACAACAGCTGAAGAACCGATAATTATTTAACTCTAGGAGACCAAAATCCTTTTTTTTCCAAAGTAGGAATGATAAAAGCTCATTAGGAATCCATCCACATAGAATGTCCGTGTAGAATATTGAAGGACTGGGTTCCATGACTTATCTGTGAACGAAGACTCAGGTACAAAGTAGTACTATCAGAGCCAGACAAGGTAGTCCTCAGTGTTCTATTGAATGAAAATTACTAATCTAAATGATCTCGCTAAGCATTTTCAGGATTTACGATAGCAAATCAACTCTATTATGCTGACGGCCTGGATTTCTATAAAAAATGGAATTTTATTGTTTTTTAGTAAAAGCAAGAAAGAAATCTTTCTCTGGGGACAAAAAGTGAATGGCTTCCTCCACATTAATCCTACGGAGAGCGTTCTCTCTGAGGACTGACACCCCGTAATGCCGCACTTGTCTGTCCAATCAGAAACTAAGGCCACTGAGGGAAGGCACTTTGTCCCACAGGCTTCCGTCTCCTCCAGGAGCCGCGCCCAACAAAGCACAGCAAGGAGGCTTTGGTTAAAGGCCTTCCTGATTAACGGAAACACTCCTCACCGCACTCGGGGATATAATGCTCCTTGGTGATCTTGGCTCATCCGGAACAGAACTCTGGAAGCGAACTAAGTCACAACCGACCTAGGAGAGCCGCGGCAGCGCGGCAGAAGAGAGCGCTGGAGATGTTATGCCAGGCTCTTTCGGCTGCGAGCGGAGAGCCACTCAGGCTGGCCGAGAAAACAGGCCCTTGGGGAGCAGAAACAAGGACACCGAACAAGTACCCGAACCGGGCGGCCTGAGGAAGCCTGGGCACATTGGGGCAGAGGGGCGGACCTCCAGGCGGGGCAAGAGGGCGTGCTCTCGCCCTGTCGCCGCCCACCGCTCTCCGGTGCAGCTGCTCCAGTCCCCACTCTTCCTGGCTTCCGGCCTCCCCAGGTCTCCCGGCCTCCCCAGGCCTGCAACCTGTCTGTGCCTGCCAGCCCTCTCTGTGGGCACTGAGGCGTTTCTCGAGTCGTCCCTTCCCGTTGGCCCCTCAGCTAACTCCTTCAGTCTCTCGGTTAATCTTTTCAAGCAAGGCCTCAAAGATCGCAGACTGCCGGTTCCATATTCCCATTCTTTCAAAGAGCTGAAGATTTTGCCAGCTGCCTCATTTCGCTCGGAAGCCTAGGGTGCCCAGCTGCCTTATTTAACTGAGGGTCCTTCCTCTTCCTACTTCGAAGCATGCACCGTCCCTCACTCCACCTCGCCTCTCCTGTCTCTTGCGCCCCTGCTTTGACTACTTGTTCCACGGATCCCTTCGTCGTCGTAGTCAAACAAACCCAGGGCGGTCTCCTCGTGTGCAAAGAAGCCCAATCAAATTAACACTGCCTACGAGGACGAAAGCTTCCTAACACAACACATAATGTGCTTCCCTTAAAAGTGCTACTTTCAAAAGTGCCCTCAGTTCTGCTGGGAACTCGATCACTTTGCACCATCACAGCTTCCACGTACCCCGTGAAAGTGCGGGGTCTAAACGGGTGGACCAATATAGTACGGGAGGGGCCCTATGCGTTTTGATGGTTGCACGCGAACTAAGAGGAAGCCGTGGATCCCATCCCCCCAGGCAAGATGGCCACGTAAACTATCACCTAAAACAAGGACCCCTTTGAGAGTGAACGGGGACACTGTTGAACACTTGGCCAGGTGTAACGGAATCCTGCACACAGAGACAACCACCTTCTTATCGTGGACTCCGACTGCACGGGACGTAGTGGCAGAGCCCAGGGGACAGCCCAGGTCCCCACAGAAAATGCAAAGACCCTTCTTATCTCTCACAGAACTAGTTCCTGAAATGTTACCCAGGGTTCTCAGTTCGACTAACTGGCATCACGCTAGTTTTGGTGACTGGTCATAGAGGTTTCCTTAGGCCCACCTCTCAATTCCTTAACTGCTGCTAAGGACTGTAGTCTTACTTAATGTGTTCCACAAAGGGCATCTGCCCAGTTCTTTTCACAGTCTCAAATATACCATATGCTCAAAAACTCACCACAGTAAAACGGTTAATTCTAATTAATGGCTGTAAACAAAGAACACATCTCTCAGTTACAACCCCAAACCAAAAAAGCTTAAAAAGATAAAATACATAATTAATCAACAACATTTCAAAGCTGTTGGGTTTCTGTCTTCGTCGCTCCTCTTGCCATGCACGGTATTTGCTGTGGGCAAAACCAACTCCGATTTCTTCTTTTTAAAATCTTGAAGAGAAACAAAGCATATTTCCTTCTGTTCATCTTTTCCCCTTAAAAGCCTGGGTAAGCTGAAGGAAAAAAAAATCTATGATTATTCTCATCTATTAAGTTATCTTTTCACAAGCAGAAATGCAAACCAAGGAAAGAAGAAAGTGGATATCCAGACAATAACTGCATTCTTTCTAGGAGTCAGTATTTCACCATCTCTGTTATTCTTACACAACAACTACACGTATGTGCTGAATATAGAACTCAGACAAAAACACGCGATGTAGCAGTGTGCAACTCACACACCGTGCCCACTCCCCACACTGTTTTTGCAGACGGCTTTAATGTGTTGTACCAGACCAATACTGACAACAGAAGCTTCAGCTTTTATTGCTGTTAATACTCTGAGCAATTACTGTAACTCAGCAGGAACCTCTGCCCCAAACAGCAACTATCACACTGTAATCAGCATTTCATAAGAGACGCTGTTCAAACATGAAGTCACCTGCTAATGTGCTAAAATTATACAAAAAGCGCTCTGAATCTAATAGGTTTGAAAAAGAAACAACAAACAAACAAAAAAAAGTTTGTAACTTTATTTCACGACTATATCTTTTCCATGGTGCACTGGTACTACATTTGGTGGTAAAAAAAAAAAAAAATCATAAACAATTAAATTAAATTAAATTAAATTAAATTAAATTAAATTAAATTAAATTGAAATTAAAACATCACCCACAAAGACAATAAGCAGAAACAGAACAGGAGCAGTAGCCACAAGCAAAAGAAAGCTCATCAGGAAACAAGACCACTGCCCCGATTTTCAGATATCAGTGCAGCATCTGCAAAAGAAATCTTTGGGAGGAAATATGTAAGAAATAGCAAAGACCTCTAAAAATGTTAAAACTTCATACTGATGTAAAATTTGAATAGAAAGTGATTTACAAAACTAAACTGCAAGGCCTCCTTGTAACACAAGAGGGAAATTAAAAGCAGCCTACCAAGAATAAAGAAGTCACAGAAGCAAATGGCACACTTGACTTTTTTAAAACGGTAAGCATGTGTTACTTATGCAACAAAACTTTAATAAGGAAAATTAAATGGCATGCAATTTTTTAACGAGCTAAATTGGAATACACTAATTGGGTAGTTGGGGTCATTAAAAATGATAAAAAGAAACAAAGGAGACGCACAGTTAAAGATCTCTTCAGACTACATTACCTTTCTTTAGACTGAAGTATCACATACCACATACAGAGTGTCAGAACACAAATGCTGTCAAGCTACAAAGGGTTTTGGAAATGAGAGCATGCACAGATACGGATACATACCTGTACACAACTAAAGAATTAGGGTTCCCCTGTATCTAAGCAGGCAGACAGGGTTCACAACCTTCAAGTACAAGGACACCTTTGTGATGTTTCCAAAGATCCCCCAAACGACAGTACTCTGATGGTATTTCGCATACCATGTTTGAGGAAAACACATGAAAAGCTGATTCTTAACTGTGTATTGTCTGTAAATAAAGTGAATTTTTTTCACTTTAAAATCACACCAGCATATGAATATATTTGAGAAGTAGTTGCACAAACACATGAGAGGCATATTTTAAACTGAAAATGTTTACTTGCAGACCTCTGTTAAATCTCTGCTGAGATCCAGGGATCCAGAGCCCCAAGGCTGGGAACCACCAGTCTACAACCCAGAGATTTGCCTACCTACCGGGCAATACCAGCACCTCTAAAACTGGGCAGGTTGGCAGTGGGAGGTACTATAGCTCTATACATCCCCAAACCAGACTTCCTTCCCCCAACCTCCAACACCAGGCAACCCCAAGATACACTCAAAATATCTAGGTAAAAGACAGTCATCGCCAAAAACTACTCTCTGGCCCATTTGTATTCTTTTTTTCCAACTCACCACTAATTCCCATATTTACTTCAGGTTCTTCACAATGGCTGAGAAGAAACACACGGCTTCGGAAACTCAAGAAAATCTCTGAAATTATGGCCAAAACAGCTACCAAAGAAATGAAAACTTTGGAAACGTTGTTCACAGGACAAGCTTTATAACAGTAAGTGTTACAAAAGCAAACGGATAAAACCACTAACTGCCTTACATGTGTGCTACAGCAGCCAGGCAATTAGCACTCAGAGGTGAACTGGTTATCAAGTCAGTAACCAGGAAGAAGCAATCCATGGAACTGGAAAGAGAAGGAAGGTACAGAGCAGAAGCAACAGACATTAAAAATGCTTACCAGTTTGAAGTCTTGAATGCTACAGATGAAATACGGCGTGTTTGGCCTCCGACTCTCGATATACACACAGTCTTTAAAAGAAAAAGAAAATTTAAAACAATGGCATTTACCTTTAAGGGAACAAAGACAGGGCCCATAAAGCCACCGCATAAATAAACAAATGACAAAGCACATCTCTTTTATAGGAAAAAAATTTTCAAAGATGAATTGTAAATTACAAATAACTGTAAGCTGGAGGAAAACAGCCCTTGACTTGAGGTCCTTATTGACCACTTTTCTGATCATTTAAAAGAACGTGATAAAGCCTCAATTATTGCTTCCGGGGTACCTGAAGAAGAGGGAGAAGGAAATCTCGTGGGATCAACCATATTTTGACAGAAACACTTCAATCAGGGGAATTACTTGCTCACAGCTACACAAGACAAAATTGTGAATGTCTTACTCAGATAGATGCTCCCATGTCTTCAGAAAGAGGAGTGGCTTTGCCAGGGGCTACTTTACTTTTAGTAAATAATTTGTGAGGAAATAAATGAAACATGTGAAGAAGACTAGCTTCAACATGCCATTACAATGACCTTTTCGCCTAAACCAAGAAAACAGAAAGAAGAAATGTAACCTGTTGTGGGTAACTTACTACTATTAAATTGTAACCTAAACACATTTTGGTTTCTAATTATAAAGACAAAGAAGGCCGCAAATCAGATGGCATGTAGTAAACCAAACCACACTTTTCTCAAGGGACTAAGAGTGTGCTTTCTTAAATTATATTTGACACGGCAATGGTTGGGCAATTATTTCTGATGCTCTCGATAGCTGGCCTCTAAAGGGCTGGTTTAAAGTCTTTAAAATGGCAGGTTAAGACACATTTTTTTTTTTAAGGAAGCAATGATTTTAAGGGAAGCAGTAGCTATAAAGGGACTTTAACTAATTCTCCACATGACAACCCAAGATCATCATAAAGCTTAGAATAGGAATCTCTATGTATTATTTACTAAGAAGTAAAGGCATCTGCAGTCCATCAAATTTTCTAGGGATAACGACCATGATACCCACATTCAAAATGCCACTTGTTTTATCCTTCCTCATGATCCTTCCCAATGAGTGTATCTTAAAATAACTGAGATGCTTGAGAATACAAGCAGATTCCTCTACTGCCTTATTTCACACACGTGGAGTCAAGAACAAAAAAAGGAGCAGAAATCTGGAGTCATCCATCCAGTGGACAGTCCAGTACCACCACAAGCACTAGCTGACCCAGTAAGAGGTGGATCATGAAGAAAGCCCTCACCAATGACGCTTCCTTCCAAAAAAAAAGAAACTTCCTGAAAGACATCAGGATTTTTGTAGCCCAGTCAATCCAGAAAATGAAATCTGAATGCCAATCATCTAGGCATCCAGAACGTCCCAAACTGATTTCTTTATTCGGATGTAGACTCAACAACAAAGATTCAATCCCTCCATTCAAGTACAACAGTAGCTCAGGAATAATCTGTTGACTGAACTTTCTCTGTTATTCCAGGGTCCAGGATGCTAGATAACTCTGCTCAATATTCAGGCAACGTCCATTTAACATGCCAATCATCTTAAGAAACAAGAGAACTCTTCCCACTTCGGCAGATGTTTGTCTCACTACCCCTAATTTGGTATTCAAGTAAAAACGTTTCCTAGATTAAAAAACACTGCACTTGAACAATTTTGGAACAACCCAAGGATCTTAATTTCTGTGTCCAATTCCTGTTGTACCAAGTACCAGTATTTCAAGTCTCTAGATACCTATTATGTATCTGTCTCACTCAACCTGAACACAAATTAGTCTACAGGCCCTCTCTTCCTTTCACCCACCTCCTACGGAAAAGCCTTGTCTTCTGTATCTCTTGACACTGTCACACCTAACTATATTCACTGACTTCAGAACTAATGGGTTACCTCCTAACTAACGACTTCCACTTTCTTAAAGTTCATTGGACAAAAACACATGCTGCATACGATGCTTTGGTCCTACACTACATCTCAACCTCCACTGGGCTATAGTATCCAAAACTCCATTACTCTGTCCATGCCAAATTCTCTTCACTCCTTCATGTCCCCAGCACCTACTTTAAAATGAGTTCGTTCCCCGGGCAGTCAATTCTCATGAGGCTCCTCTGTAAAGAAATGGCAACACCTCCCTTCTTAAAAAAAGCTTTTTGTATACTTTTCATAATCAACAGAATCACTGTAACTATAAACCCTCTAACTCTGAGACTTAAAGTAGCTATTAACTTGTATATAAAAAAAGCTTTCCGGAAAAGGAAAGAGAATCTATAATCTTTCATTTCTCACTGCAAAGTTACATTCAGGAAAATGATTATCTGTAAATATACCTGGATGTAACTCTCTTAGAGAAGGGAGGAAAGGAATAAACTGGGATGTCGAGGATGGCCCCTGATAACCCTGCCCTTAACAAGCTTTTGGCAGTCCTGGAGGCCGACTCACACCCCTTGGCCCAAGGAATGCCGCCATTAGGAACAAGGCCGAGTGAGAAAGATCCTTAAACCTGACACATGGAATTACTACATCTACTTATTAATACCTTATTAATAGATAAAAAGTCACCTCTTTCTGTTTAAAAAGCTACCATGTCAACCCAAATTCATCTAAATCCATATAGGAGATTCCAATGCACAGGACTAATCATCTATAAAACAGGTCACTGCATCCAGTGATCTCTATCAGTATTTGGAAACTTATACATGAAAAAGATAAGCTCACTTCATAATTAAATAACAAAATTTTTAAAGTCTTTTATTTAAGTAATCGTAAAACACAGAATCACTAAGATCAAGGGTAATATAAACTTTTTTACCATGTCTAACTTGCCACAGAAAATGGAAAAAAAAATACACTGTTTTAATCTGACTTTTTAAATTCATTATAAAAGTAAAAGCATGAGAAATTATCGTAGAGTCAAATTTTTCTTTATCACCCTCTCATAAAAATTAGGATGGTCCAACTAAAAGAGAACACATCCTAAGGAACAATTTGGAATTCAAGTCTCACAGGGAAAAATAAACTACTTAGTGTTACCTTAATGATTTTCAAAACAAGGTTAAATGAGGCCAAATACTCATAATGAAAAAATATTTCTCTCTTGTCTCATTAATTAAGCAACTATTTAAGAAAATAACTTTATATAGATGTTTTTAGTGAGCACAAAAAATAAAGTGGTTTATTTGGCAAGGGAAAGATGAGAACATAAGTAAAGAGCAATGTTAAAATCTCAGTTGGAATGTATGCCCAGTAATCTTTTAAAGCCAAAATGATTTGCCAAGAATCTTCATGCAGTTTATAAGTGCATAGATTGTCTGAAGTGATAAAATTGGTTTCTGTCAGTTGGGTCAATGAGCCTCAACCTGAAAATCTCCCATGGCCAACACATGTACTTGCAGACACCTTTTTTCTTAGAAGGAAGGAAAGAAAGTAAAGAGAAAAGGAGAAAAGAAAAATGAAGAAAGAAAGAAACTGTTCTTTTTTTTTTTTTTTAATCACAAAGCTAGCAGTTCTGAAAAACCTGAGCAAAGCTGATGCAATCCATTAAGTGCATAATGCACATTTTCAAAATTATCCATACGAAAATGCGTGTTTACCAGATTGAGCAAACGGGTGCTGCAGGGCAAATATATATTTTTTTAATCTTAAAATCAGCAAGCCTGAAATAGGCCAGAAAAATGAGTGAGGCCATTACCATCGGTATCAATTATTCCGAACAATACATGGTAACTAATTTTTTTTTCTCTACCAGGGGTGTGTGAAATAAAACCACGGGTCTAGGTTGAGGCTTGCTCTCTTAACACCAAGCCTCTGCCAGGGAATGGATCACACAATTGAGTGACCTCAATCCTGCATCCATGATCTATGCAATGATACTGAGCAGGGGCGTTTTTGGCTATTTCTCACAACCTCAACAAAGCTCTGTGTCCAAGAATCTATTGTGCCATCTGCAAACAACAGAGCATTTGCTAAGCTGGGGAAGGAAGTCAGCCAAAACATGAAGGCAGATTCTCAAGGCAAAGAAAGCCCTCTCTGCTTTCAACAACCCTCAGCAAATCAGCAGGTTTATGTAAATAGAGCAAGAGCATGGTCCTCTCAAGGGTAAAAACCACAGCCTGAAGCATCAGACAGTTTGTCATCCCGAAACACAAAGAACCTGTCAGCGATCTTCCTGACAGCCTCCTCCCAGAGTACAGTGGACACTCTCCTTCACCAACTGATTGGGCAAGCAGCGCTGTGAGCCCAGCATTAAAGCTGGGGTCACGGGGCGCCTGGGTGGCGCAGTCGGTTAAGCGTCCGACTTCAGCCAGGTCACGATCTCGCGGTCCGGGAGTTCGAGCCCCGCGTCAGGCTCTGGGCTGATGGCTCGGAGCCTGGAGCCTGTTTCCGATTCTGTGTCTCCCTCTCTCTCTGCCCCTCCCCCGTTCATGCTCTGTCTCTCTCTGTCCCAAAAAATAAATAAACGTTGAAAAAAAAAAAATTTAAAAAAAAAAAAAGCTGGGGTCACAATGCACAGGCAGTGCTTGGCCACGGTGCTCTGTCCTTTAAAGAATTTCCCTCCTGTTAATGTGTTTCTGCTTCTTAATCTTTGAAATACCTTCTCGTTCCTTCGCAAGGAACTCCAATATAATTTCCAATAGAAAATCTTCTACCTGTTTAAAAAAAGGGGGGGGCGGCATGCATAAACAGACTATCTCACAAATAAATTTCCCAGAGACCCAGCTGGGTGACACAGTGGTGGACAAGGAGGTACACTCTCAGGACTGCTCTGTTCTTCCATGTTCCATTTCTCTTACACAGGATTCCTCTACCCAGACACTGAACCATTCAGTGAGGTAACAGCCGACTGGTCTATTGTGACAGAATCAAAAGTCTACAAGTATCTCACTAGTTAATACGGGTGTTCCCAAATGCCCAACATACAAAAGGGTAATGCAGCTCTACGCGCATGCGAGAAACAACACTGAAATCCCAATCCACAGAGCGTGGCCTCTGATGGAGGAGCCCCTCTCACCGCTTCAGCAGCCTCCCCATCCGTACG